TGAAACCATACTTGGCATGTTCTTTCCGATGGAGCATAATTGCCATAAGCTTCGAAAAGCAATTTATGAGCTGCAGCTGCAGTTTTTTTCAAGTCAAAGTAATGAAGCAGCACATGTCGAAAAAACAACTTATCACGTTCCATATTTAATCAAAAGAAAAAATAGCACTGCTCGCTTAAATGAATCTCTTCGCACTGAATTTTGTTGACAAATGTCTAACCTCTAAAATGCAGCCAGTTTCAGATGTCAAAATAAATTACACCTACAACTAACGTCATCTAACTGTGAGCCGCAGGAACTAAGTTTACCACCTAATATATCCATATAAAAGGACATCACTTTGAGCATCTTCTATGAAATAAGAATCATTGTTTTACTCTTTTATTTAAGAGATGTTGAGACAAACAGTCGCAGAGTCAAGATGAAGTTGAAGGTCACAATCCGATGTCCCCCTCCGAACCCAACAACTTTTGTAAGGGTTATTTGGATTGGTAGCTCCCCGACAAGATATGTATTCAGGTGTGTAATTTCAAATATTTTGTCCTTGAAATAACCTCTGAAGGTCATTCCAAAGAAGAGCCTCAAGTACTCATCTAAACGTAAAATTTTGCGCTCTTTCCGAATCTGGGGTCAAAAATAGGGGTTTCTATTTAAAAATTCGATTTGACCTTCAAATGACCTTGAAGGTCAAGGTCAAGGTAAAATTGAAAATCACCATCCGACGTCCCCCTCCGAACCCAACAACTTTTGTAAGGGTTATTTTCGAATTGGTTGCTCCCCTGATGAGATATTCAGGTGCGTAATTTAAAATGGGACACTCCATGTGTATATATATATATATATATATATATATATATATATATATATATATATATATGTGTGTATATATATATTGTTTTTGTCACATATTCCTATTTATTTTTGCACATATTTTCATTTCGTAAAAATATTTGTAATGCCATACAACCAATACAACGTAAGCTTTGCAGGAAAATGTCAATGTTCTGTTGGTAAAGTTTTCAGTTTCAACATCCCCTTAATATAAACTTATAACTTTATATTATAGATCGTTAAAATCGTTCGAACATCCACTGTTGCACTAAGAATAAAAAAAATATATGCTTTTTAATAATGAAGGTGATTTTGAAAGCGTCGTTGCATTCGTTGACTCTACTATTCATGATGATTAATAAAACTACTAAGTGCTTTCAGATAAATATAATTATCAAATAGAACAAAAAGAAACAGAATTAATCATAAAAACAAGCAAAACAAACGATTTAGCATATTATGTTTTTAGACAGAACTTTCGTACTTTTAATTGAAAAATTACATAATTAGTATATTTATATTTATTTATGAGTATAAACGAGTAAATATAAAGTAATAGTAACTTTATATTAATGTTATAATTTCCCACTTAAAAATTTAAGTGCGATGTAACATATGATATACATAATATACATTGTTGAACGGAAAATTATAAGATTAATGTAATGTTATTGTAACTCAATTTACTAGATGATTAATAGGTAATGCTAGGTAATTAATAGATATTACTAGGTAATTAACAATTTGCTAATGTAAATTAGATGTACAGATAATTTCAACTGAGCATAAGTTAAAAGCGTATTTGAATGTATTTAATTTTTCTCAACAAAATTACTGTCATATAAAATTCTATATAATTCTATATAAAATAAAATTCATATAAAATTCTATATAATTCTCATCAAAAATTATTGTCGTATAATAGTCCCCTCCGTGCCGTGAAATTTTAGTTACACAAATTTTCCTCTGGATCATATAGATTCGATATTTGTATGGTAATAGTTACTGTTCTACTCTGTATATAAAATATATATATTGGGTTGGCTAATAAGTCCGTGAGGTTTTTTACTTATAAATGATCAATTATTATTTTTATAGAAGCTAATAACTTTAATCAATTATGTATTGGACGTTGTTATCTACTATCTTTTGCCATCTTTTAGCTTCATAATTCCTCGTTCAAAGAACTTCCTGTCTTTCTCGGCAAAAAACTGTTCTAAGTGTCGTTTGACAGCTTCCTCAGAAACGAAGTGCTTTCCATTAGTTACATCCCGTAACTAATGGCCCCCGTAGGGCCTGACGTACCTTTACATTGCATAAAGACCGATTACTTATCCGACCGGGTTAAAAGTTAAAAGTTAAAAGTCAAATATACAAAAGGAACACGTAGATCTCGAGCCTTACGAAAGAATCATGAATCATACCACCTACAATTACGCATGTCCATATATGGCCTGATCGAACATTTCCCGAATTTCTATTTTTTCTCATCAATCCGAGCCTCATCTTTGTTACTAAGCAAGATATCTCCAACGAATCCGGTAACTGCTATCCACGAAATTTCCCATTTTCCGAAACTATAAAAAGTCTGATCCGTATGACTTCTGGGTTCATTCACTTATTATCAATACGACGTCTAGCAGTATCACTTCTGTAATTTTTATTGTCATTACGACGTCTACAAGTATCACTTCTGTATTCAATCATTTGTCACTACGACGTTTACGAGTATCACTCAAGAGTCAGAATCGAAGGAAGCAACTAACTCAGGAGATCCAGGACCATCCATTTCTCTCCTTGCACACACTAACAGTAAGTTATTGTTTTATTATCCGGTTTTCCGCGTCTCAATTTCGAATAAGTCCGGACAGATATATCTTTACTTTGTCGAAAACTCAATCGCAATAATTTCGGTGGACATTAATTATCGTCCAGAATTCTGAAATCAGTATGTCCTCCAATAATCCTGAACATTAACGCCCATCCTCACCCCATACACTCATGCACATACTCATACACACACACACACACACACACACACACACACACACACACACACACACACACACACACACACCAGCACATTGTAATTATAAATAAATCGTATGTTATTTCTTTTATAAAGAAACATTAATTTCTTTTTACCCGTCCTCTCCTATTATCGTTCAAGGTCCAGTCCCGAGTAAAGAGATTCAGTTCTCTGACTCAAAATCGGACCGCTCGCCGTACGTCGTCGGGCTAGTAAAGTGACCCTTCTGGTCGTTGACTAGTTCTTCCTATACCAGGTCTGTAAATATGAAACCGGAATTTGCCCATAGATGGCCCTAGCTGTCAATGTAGTTACCGTCAAACCGCGTCATTGACGCCATTTCCTTGTTGACATCTCTGACAAAAATTTTCAACTTACAACAATACAAGTTTCATACAACAGCATAGTTTGTAATAGCGTTGAACATGTCGAATTTTGTGCCTGGAAACTACGATTTGCGGACAGCATTGATTTTCTGTTACCATTTGAAGAAAACTGCTGCAGAATCGCATCGAATGCTTGTCGAAGCTTACGGTGAGCATGCTCTTGGTAAATCACAGTGCTTTGAGTGGTTTAAAAAATTCAAAAGTGGCGATTTTGACGTGAGAAACGAAGAACGTGGAAGACCATCGAAAAAGTTTGAAGACAGCGAATTGCAAGCATTGTTGGATGAGGATGACACTCAAACGCAACAACAACTCGCGGATCAATTAAATGTGACACGAGAAGCCGTCTCCATACGTTTGAAAGCCATGGGAAAGATCCAGAAGATGGGAAAATGGGTTCCACATGAACTGAATGAAAGACAGCAGGAAAACCGAAAAACCACTTGCGAAATGCTGCTCGCCAGGTACAAAAGAAAGTCATTTCTCCATCGAATTGTGACTGGCGATGAAAAGTGGATATATTTTGAGAATCCTAAGCGTAAAAGATCATGGGTAACTCCAGGCGAACCATCGACATCGACTGTAAGGCCAAATCGCTATGGTCGGAAGACAATGCTCTGTGTTTGATGGGATCAGAGGGGTGTGATCTACTATGAGCTGCTAAAACCTGGTCAAACCATTAATACTGAACGCTACCGACAACAAATGATCGATTTGAATCAAGCTTTGCGTGAAAAACGACCAGAATATAAAAAAAGGCAACACAAAGTGATTTTGCTTCATGATAATGCACCATCACACACAGCAAAACTGGTCAA